GCCAATTCTACATGTCGAATCAGCCAAAATGAACGCCGACGCCGACTGACGATGGCACCGGACACACCGAACTAATTCGAGTCACCGACCTCGCCGGACTGTCCGACGACGTCCAACGGCCGATAATCGGGTTGGTGTGAAGAGGCCTTAAAATATTTTATTTTCTGCTGATCCACTCTCACACTCAAGTAATGTACATTCATTATTTCAAAGCTACGTTTTCCTCTTTGGTTAGGATAGGCTACTTTGAGTACCATACACACCATATACCATAAATGTGTTATTATATCATCATATTGTCCTGTCAGGTTAACCAAGAAACTAGAGGAGAGACGAGAGCAAAGGAAGACTGGAGAGGAAGAGGTAAGGAGAGAAACCTGTTTTGGGAATTAAATACTGTATATTTTCAATGGGGTATAATCACTGTGGCCACGGGGGTCATGTCCCTGTCCCCCTGTCCAATATGTATTATTGACACACTTCCACACAGCGTTCACAGATCTCTTATCTAGGCAGATTTATCACTCCCAGTAATGCTAGGTTACAATCAAGTAAGAGACATTTTTTCAGTGATTTCAAAGTTAACTAAGTTGGCCAGAGTGCACTGAGTGCTCTAACTGGTAGCTGCTGGGCGCTAATCAAAGTTACACAATTTTGCTAACTAAAGCATAGTTCAGCAAGCCGAACAACAAAATGAACACTAAAACAACAAACCATAGCAAAACATACAACTTCCAGGTTTGAAGTTCACAGACAGTAATGTTTTCATACACCATTGAGCTGAAACAGGTAGCCCTCGCTAGCATTCTGTAGTAAAATGCACACACAGTACCATCAAACATAAACTTTATCCACTTAGCTCTTCTGTCCCCTGAGGCTGGGAGCCAATTTTTACTGGTTATCTGACATTTATAAATTAGTTTTAAGCTGAGCAAATGCAGTCTCCAGGCTGGCCAGTTGAAGATGTGAAAGCAGGTGTGTTTTGACTTCCTGACTTGCTGTTCTTATCATCTAATCAGTGATTCTTAACCTAGAGGAAGGGACCCCTAAAAGGGTTGCAAGATCATTTGCGAAGGTTGCCAAATGATTGTGGAGAATAAAATAAAATAACATTGTGGCAAGCAGTCACACCAATGTGATTATTCTGGAGAGGCGTAGCTCTAAAAGCAGTACCACTGGTCCAAACACCATTAAAACAGAACCACATTTGTTGAATAAAATATATTTGAATATTATTTTCATACATGTATATGTCCCTCTCAACCACAAAACTGACAGATTAAGAAGAGCTTTCCTCCTTAAAGCAACACCAGCGATTGTCTGACCAATGGGATTTTGGTTGGACGAGAGCATATCGACCAACTGACCAGTAGGTGTCAGCCCTAATTTACCAGGTAGTACAACTTCCCCACTTACTTTTGCCAAGCAAAACTTATTTTTTTGTCTGGAAAAAGTAGTATAATTTAGAGTTGAGTAGTATCATAAAGCTCTGACTGCCCACAGATGGCTACAATAACAGTGCAGACAAGTTGAGATATGAGAGTAAAGATATTTATTATTAAAATATTTGTACACCTATTCCCCTGGCTCTCTTCCCAGAGCTCACTGTCACCTCTCGAGGCACAAGTGGTATAACGAGACAGGGCATACTGCAACAAGCTGGTTAGCATGCAAATTTCCATAGATATCTCACATACATAGATCTTTGACATTGCATCATGGCTGTTACCTCGTCACATTTTGTTGATAATCCTACTTCCTTTTTTTAAAATTTTGTTTTGTTTTTTAAACTTCTGAACTATAATTCTGGTCATATCTTACACAGTATTTCTTGAAATCTCAGCACCACTGACGCTTACTGTGTTGGTAAATGGTAAATGGTAAATGGACCTTGACTTGTATAGCGCCTTTCTAGTCTTCCGATCACTCAGAGCGCTTCTACACTACTGTTCTGTGTAGCTGCTGGTTAAAGTGAGACAATGTAATTACATATACAAAATGCATATTGCTTTCACCTCACTTGAAGACATTTCCTTTCCTCCAAGGTCTTGTGTTAAAGTTGGTTCTCCTCCAAATAGTTTTTTTTCCCTCCATGGAATACTACAGGTTAGGGGTTACATGTCATCACAATTAAATGCACCAGCATCTTGTAATTACTACTTGTGGAAAGATACAGCAGAAGTTACATACATCTGTAGTGTCACGTAAATAGTGAAAAGACTAAGAAATATGGTGCAATACATTACCTGTGTTATGCCTGTGATTCAGAATGTGATCAAGAAGGAAATTGAGCGGCGGAAGGTGGGGAAGGACATGCAAGACTTTAAGAGGAAACAGGAAGAGGAGAAGACCAAGAGACTCCTCGAGGAAAGGAACAGAGAGAAGGCTGAGGAGAAGGCTGCCAGGGAGCGGGTCAAACAGCAGATTGCCTTGGTAAGATCATCTTTTTCTCTCCATGTTTTCTTTGGCTACTTCAGTCAGTGAATTTTATCATCTCCTCTGCACAGAGTTTTCACATGAAAAGCCCTCATGTGACTCCAGTGACTTGCTGATTGGCAGCTTTAAATTGCAATAAAATAAAATAAAATAAAGCTGCAAGCAGCGTTGG